GATCGAAGTTGTGTATTGAATATTGTCATTAGCAGACAGGCAGGCAGACACATAGGTGTCAATAAAACAGACACTGAGTTTTGTCTGTGACAACGACATATCTGTGTCACAGTTAGATATTCTGTGAACGCTAAATAATGACATTGCTTTTAAGTATCGAACTGAGAAAGTGACTCGGTAAGAAGAACGTGTGGTGAAATAGACAACTGAAATTATATAAACAGTTAAATCGGTAATCTACTGGTATAACATATAAAAATCTCGCGCCTGTGAAATATCAACAAAACATTAAAAAAAAATAGCTCACACCAAAGCCTTCACCGAGTATTCACTGGACAACCCGCTGCGCGAACTTGTTTCACTGCGCATGTGCTATGAGCGCAGCCCAGCTGTTGAAACCACTTTTCCCCCCAAGCGCTGGGGGAAAATTAGTGAATCGTTTGAACTCCGATTTCGCGCGTTTTTTTGTCATCGCGTTATTTTTCAACTTTATAAGTTGAATTTGCATTTTTGATGATTTGTTTCGGTAAGTCCATACCAAGAGGTATCAGAATCTTCAAAGTTGTGTTTTACGTTGGTTGCATGTGACCTTTAACATAACGTTAGGAATACTTCTTACCTTTTATTTAAAATATTCGTTATTTTTGTTAAAATCTATTTGAGATTTGATTTTCCTTGACTTCGTTGTGTACTGGTCCGTGGTTGTGGTCTCCAGGCATTTTAGACATTATGTCGTTCAATGTTGAGACTGTTGCTCTGCAGTCTTTCTGACTGCATCTCCATGAGATCCATTCTCTCCTTTTCCTCTTGTTCAGAATGAACATATACCGGTAACCATTTACACATAGATATCTTCAACCACGAAATGTAGGAAGAAACTTCTAGTCTAACTGTGCATTTACCATAACTGAATTTGTGGAAATAATGGTGAAAACTGTCATTTCCAAAATTCTTATAGCAAGTTTCTACAAGAAAATGAATAACTCACAACTTATGAATTGAGTGAACTAATTTATAAATCAAAGTGACTGTGTGAACTCACTAACATGGATTCAATCTCATACTGGTAGTCTGGTATACATGCCCACACCTCCACCGAATCTGTCTCTTTCTTGCACACAATTGGCAGAGAACCGTTCGTTATGGCGACGATAGACGCGAGCCCGCCCGTCCGTTCGTCTCAGCATGAATCTTGACTCGTCACTGAAAAGGACAGTTCTCCACTGAGCGTGACGCCAAGCCCGATGTTGTTGACGCCATTGTAGCGGGGCTGCAACATGACGTGGCTGCAAAATGTGATGTCGAAGCGGTCGCATTGCTCGTAACCCTGCTTGCCTTAGACGGTTCCTGACAGTTTGGCTGGAGACCCTGCGCAGTCATGCGATCTGGTTCGCAGTAGAGCTGGCTGTCTTGAATCGATCCCGAAGGTGAAGTAACCGGATATACCGATCCTGGGCTGGCGTTGTGACCCTGGGTCGACCTGACCTTGGTCTGTCTCGGGTACTTCCGGTCATGTTGTAGCGGGACCAAAGCCGGTTGGTTGTGGCCCTGCAGACACCCATTTGCCTTGCAACATCGGTTTGACAAGCTCCCATCTGCAGACGCCCAAAGGCATTGTTTCTTTGCTCCTCCGTCAATTTGGCATCTTTAGGAAGTCTCGGACACGGTTATGAAGAATGACAATGCTGATGTCACGTTTGCCTTTTATAGCCCATGTCCTGACGTGACAGCACGCATGACTAGAAATTTCCATGTTGCACGTGCAAGTGTTTTTTTCTCAAATTATTGCGTTATTCAAGTAACGCCAGTCTTCCGATTACGTTTTGGCGTTTTATTCCGTTTTCTCGTTTCAACATTTTTGTTAAACATTGAGTTGTTCTGAGATAGTGCTCACGGGGTCATGTTATTTTTATCTTTATATTTCCTTACTTGTCCCATGTGTAACAGAACTTTTTGGGGAGAGTATATAAAGTACGTACATTCATTGGGCGATGAAGCCCCAAACAAACAGAAAAATTCCCCATTTGGTTAAACATAAAAAGGTCAATGACATCAAACAGGAACTGATTTCAACACATAGTGTGATACGGGGCGTGTTGTCCATGATGTTTGGAAACAGAATATGACATATTCACATACTTTAACATAGAATTACGACTGTCGTAGCGCTACGATCGTTTTGTGGAACGAGGCCCTGCTTTTATTTTAACTAGGCCCTAAATATGGCGTCGAAAAGGACTTAAAGATCGTTACGTGTATGGTCAATGGGGAAGTGTGAACACATAATCAAAACATGGCGAATGGAAATTAGACACAACTTCATACAGAATCTAGTCTTGAACAAACAATCAGGGTATCATTGCGTTATTTCGACATAGTTCTCAACCAGTTCTGTCCCAAGTAGGCTTTTCCCCTCTCACATCCGTGTGCATACATACGAAAAACTGCCGTTTTTTGCTTCGTCCGCCTTGTAAGCTCGTCAACAAGTACATCCCATTTGCTTTTGAATAAGTATGGAATCCGAGAAGGGACATTGTCGCTATGTCGCATTCTCGCCCTCTCAAAAACAAGTAAAGTGAGGCAAAATAAACCAAAACGTGACACGCGACATCGCGACAACGCGACATTTCGCCCATTTGTCGCATTGTCGCGATGTCGCCAGTCGCGTGTCGCGTTTTGAATAATATTTTTCTATTCCTCCAAAGGGCGACACGCGACATAGCGACAATTTTCAAGGTCAAAATATGTCGCGTTGTCGCGCGTCGCCCTAGCTAAGCTGTGTAAAAAGAAACCTAAAAAATCACTAAAACGCGACACGCGACAATGCGACATATTCACTATGTCGCATTGTCGCGTTGTCGCCCTTTTCGATTACCGGTGCGCATGCGTAGAAAGTAAATGAGACTACACATGCGCAGGAAATGTTATACTCTATTTCACACTTCAGTGGTCTTTTGTTACCTCCAATGGTTTTTACAATGAAGTAGTACGCGTAATGATAATGGGGGCTGCTTTTCTTGAACTTAATGCAAATCTGTCTTTGTTGCTTTGAAAATTATTGTATATATTGTAAATGTATTTGGCCAATCACGTGTGTTTTAGCAGCCAAATTATTAGCGCTACTATTCATTGTAATGAGGGCACACGGTGGCCCTGTCATTCAAGGCGGGGCAATTTGCTGTGGAGAGTTGTGTCTCTTAGTCACACCAGAAAACTATGATCATAGGTTCTAATCCCAGCACCATACACACTCATCACTTTGGACATTTCACCCATATCAAGCTCACAGGTTGTGAAAAACTCAAATATTGTTAAAATTCAGACCACATCGGCAGAAACATCAAGTGATGTCCACGAATGGGTCACTATGTTCCACAGTGTGGCTCCTCAGAGAGATTCTTGGTACAGTCCTGTCCGACGCTGTTGAACTTGTTCAGCCAGCAGTGGATGGATACCAGGTAGAATGAGATGGTAATATCACTTAACCATCGAGCACCTCAAATACAGTTTTGGTCGACTTTGAACGTGATATATCTTCTTGGGAAACGCCATACAAATGGAATGTTATGATTATGATTTTAAAAGCGGTCAAATCGCTTGGCAGAGTTGCGTACCCTTGGCGTGCCAGAAATCAATCCTCGCTCGCTCGCTCCTCCCTCCCTCCCTCTCTCCCTCCATTCCCCGCTCCACCCACTCACTCGCTCCTCTCCACCCCACTCCACTCATCTCCGCTCCACTCTTCTCTACTCCACACCACTTCGCTCCGCTCCACTCAATCACTCACTCATTCCACCCCACTCCACTCCACTCCACTCACTCACTCCACTCCGCTGACCGCTCCACTCACTCACTCAGTCTCTCATTCCGCTCCCCTCCCCTGCTCCACTCCTCACTCACTCCACTCCACTCCACTCACTCACTCACTCCGCTCCACTCCACTTCGCTCCCAACTCACTCATTCCACTCCGCTCACCTCTCTCACTCACATCACTCCCTCTCCCCGCTCCACTCACTCACTCATTCCACTCCACTCCACCTCTCACTCACTCACTCCTCCTCTCCCCGATCCACTCACTCAGTCACTCCTCATTCCTCCTCCGCTCTCCTCACTCCTCCCCTCCCGCTCCACTCCACTCAGTCACTCCACTCATCCCTCTCCGCCCCCTCACTCCGCGACTCCACCCACGCTCCTCTCCTCACTCATTCCTCTCCACCCACTCCCCCACTCCCCTCCACGCTCCTCTCACTCACTCATTCCTCTCCACCCACTCACTCTCTCGACTCATCTCCTCTCCACCCGCTCCCTCGCTCCCTCCCTCCACTCCGCCCGCTCCCTCACTCACTCCACTCAACTCCAAACATCGAAAAGTAATCATGCTTGTGATAGTTTATAAAGTCCGCCGTAACTAATAAAAACGCGACAATGCGACAACGCGACATTTTGATGAAATGTCGCGTTGTCGCATTGTTGCGCGTCGCGTTTTAGTCAATACGTTATAATACATACTATACTCAATATTTTAACAAAGCGCGACGCGCGACAATGCGACAACGCGACATTTCATCAAAATGTCGCATTGTCGCGTGTCGCGTTTTAGTAATTTTATAGGCTGTTTTTACACATCTTACATAGGGCGACGTGCGACAACGCGACATATTTTGACCTTGAAAATTGTCGCTATGTCGCGTGTCGCCCTTTGGAGGAATAAAAAATTTTTTTATTCAAAACGCGACATCACGACAATGCGACAAATGGGCGAAATGTCGCGTTGTCGCGTGTCGCGTTTTGGTTAATTTTGCTTCATTTTGTTTGTATTTGAGAGGGCGACAACGCGACAATGCGACAACGCGACAATGTCCCTTCCAGGATTCCATAAATAAGTGCCAATACGTGCAGACATCGATTGCTATATGCATGTCAGACTGCCCATTTTGAAGGGTTTAAAGTTTGATTTAACTGTTAGGTGACTTCCCAGATGAAGCGTACAAGAGGAACACACACTCCCCCCATACAGTTTAATCCGATTTATCAGCTGTTGTGGCTTGCCTCGCTGCTCATTCCGCTCTCTCATGCTCCCTCAAGAGCTTTCTTGGAGCATGTTTGTTTCAAATATTAACCTATGAAGCTTGCTATATCTGTTTCAGTAGATGTTGGACAGTTGGCCAAAGCAGCATCTCTGAAACAGAATGTTTGCTGTCAACACATGGCTTTAAAGCAATTGTAATGTTTGTATAAAAATGAGTATTTACATTTTTATGATTATTTTACTACCCAAACGTTAGACACTAGCATCAGATAACCAAAGCAGCATATTAAAACATCATCTGAATCTCAATCATACCGAGTAACAAAAACATGGTCCATAAAGAAGCAGCAACAGGTTTACTTGATAAATCTGAGTGGGCTTAGAACAAATGCAGAAATGATTGTAATGTCCTGTAATATAAAATAATAATCTGACCTTTGACTAAACCAGTTGTTTCACTTGGACATGTTTATGTGGTCGCAAGTGCTATCATATTAATAACAGTAGTGTTGTGTATTACTTTGGAAGGAAAACGTTTCACCTCTGATCAGTTTCTACAGTCTTGTTGTAGAAAAGCTTCTCGTGTTTCCAATTCCTTTTACATTGTACTGACCCATGGCCAAGGGTTAAAACTCAACAGTTGGTCTGATGCATGTCTTTGCCGCCAACCCGTTTCTGTGCTTGAAGCTGCAAAATAATATTAAGATTTATATGCTGTCACTTGGCAACATACATTAACAAATTTTATGCCAGGAGTACATGCCACCAGTATTTTCGTAACATAAAAATTAAATACAGATCAATCAACCTAAACCATTAATGAAATACAACAGGAATTTATTACCAATCAAATAAAATCAATTTGTCAAATTGTGCAACTGATTTCATCTGGTTAAATTGTATGATACTTTCCAAAGATGCGGGCGTCATTTACAGAGAAATTTTTTACTAACAAAATATACTATTTACAAGATTGAAAATTGTGTATTTCTTACAGTTGACCCAAAAATTAGAAATGGTTAGTTGCCTTTTAATGGCTTTATGACACATCTTCATTTCTTGTTTAAAAGTTGTATACGATATTTACTTGTGAGGGGGCTGACATTTGTTGTGAGGAATCATGGTCTGGGTGCTGGGAAAGGGACATATTGTTTACGCTATAAAATACATCCGTAACTGGAGTCACGGACTTGAATGTAATATTATCCCCTGAGTTCCCATACATCGCTGATAAGCAAGAGTGCCTCTGTGACCAGATCTGTGTCGACAGATTGGATACAGGGCAGAGGAAACAGGGAAAATTCCTATATTTGAAAACATGCCTACATTTTGGTCATTTAATAAATGGTAAAATTATAGTTAAGTAAATAGTCATAGGAATTCGTACTGTTGCAAACTAAGAATGAACGTTCACAAGGCACGATACAGAATTTGACTGAAATTCTTAAGTGATGATTTATCAGGTTAACTGTGCAATTTGACGTTTTTTAGAACAATAATGTGAATACACATACCTCCTCTTAGAAAACTGTAGTCTTGTCACAAGAGTAAAATGAACAGTCTTCTATATCCAGCAGTGTGGCGGAACTTCCCGCCTGCTATGTACAGAGTCCGATTTTGAATGGCATACTGTAAAACATGGAGTGGAGTCTTGGAGTGGGGTCTTGGAGTGGAGTCTCGGAATGGAGTCTCGGAATGGAGTCTTAATGTAAATATTTAGGTGACCGAGTTTGTTTTGTTTTGATCATAAGGGTAGCTATACAAGCACATTCATTTCACATCTGTAGCTGGTTGGTGTTATCAGTTTTATCAGAAGACAGGAGGCATTTTGTATACACGTATCAATTAGCCCTGTCAACTCCAGAAATGTCATTCTGTAACAGTACCATGCTGCCATCAAGAAGAAAAATGTATATGAATAGATGGAAGGATGGATGAATCGATGGATGGAGAAGCATGTAAATTATTTACAACCTGTAAACAAAATATTAATAATGGCATTATTTATTAGCTAAAAAACGACATATATAACATGTTCACATGTAAATTCAAATTTGTGTAGAGGAAGCGGTAGTAAGGAAAAAGGTACATAAATTAGGTCTATGCTAAGACATACTAATCATCAGGGAATATAATAGTTATTATTGCATGAATTATTTATTTCTTACTTAACAAAGAAATTGATTACATAAGATACATAGCACTATATTATTCAAGAACTGGATTTATTGTCAGTGATGGCAAAAGTAACTGTTCATAAGTCATAATTGTTTTGCTTTTTGTTCAGAAATAGCCATCTCTCTACAACCTTGAACTTACAAACAAAAAGCAAAAATAAATGTAGCAGAATATTTTGCAAGCTGAGTTTCATCAGCTCTCTATGGCTTCGAAAATCTTGACTTTCTGTCAGGTTATGTATCGGCAGTCTACTGGAATGTGACAAATTAGAGGAAACACATCACTGATACGATCTGCCCTCAGAATGTCAGAGAGGTAAAGGAATGCTACTGAGGATTGCCATGTAAACATTTTTACAATCCCGATTACGTTGCTGTAATTGCACAGAGTTCGAATTTGTGACGATTTATTAATAAGTTTGGAGTAAACTGACATGCTTTAACAAACATTTCTACGAGAGCTGTAAAAAAGAAAGACTAATCTCTAAGATGAGTAAGATAAGATATTTACTTTTGAAACAGGTGATTCCAGAGGTATAAACGACAACTGGGAAAAACCATTAATGGCATATTCTAGACAGTAATCAGTGTTTACAGAAGTGACAAGTGCACTTATACTCCATACTCCAGACTCCACTCCAGACTCCACTCCAAGACTCCACTCCAAGGCTCCACTCCAAGACTCCACTCCATATTTTACAGTATGCCATTTTGAATGCAGGATATCCTGCTCTGACCTGATAAGTATCTGGGAACATTCCTGAGACTGCTGACACCAAAACAAGAGATAGCAAGTTGTCCACACAGGGAAGGCTGAACTTAAACGCACAGCAGTAAATGGGAGATTATATTTGCAATAAAATGTTGCATTTATCGTAAATAGTATTGTACAAAATCAGTCATTGTAATGAAACACATGACATACTATTCCACTTGACCAAATTTTCACAAAAGTTTTCTAGAACTTATAATTTCTCATAAATATTTATGTTCAGGCGTATTTGCATAACAATTATTTTTCAAATTCATATACATTCCTGCAGTGAATAGAAACATCCTTATCAGGGAAAATTTACTTCAAAATGTTTCAATAATGATTGTAGAACATTGTGATAAGGCTTCAATCAAACTTTAGGAAAACCTCCACCAGTGTTTCAATAACGTTTCTAAAAGGTTGGTGTGTAGAAGTTTTGATTTTCTTTTTTGATAACCTTTTAATAACGTTACTCGGAACGTTTTGATAACGTTTCAAAACAAAGCATCACTTGTCGTTGACCTTTGGATGTAGTACAGCTACGTTGCAGCGACGTGGCCATGTGAATAGAAAACCGAACCAGAAAGCGACTTGTCTGCCACGTCCATACAACGTCGCACTGCGACTGCGACATGGCGACCTCAATGTGACCTGACAGCGACGTAGCAAATACGTCGCCGGCCTGCTGGGTACTTCTCTCTTGAACACGGAAGTGTCTTTACTTCTGCTGAGTCGTGTAAAGTTGAATAGCAATAACAGACGAAGAAGCGTTGGTTAACTCCCTCTACTAGTTCCGCGGAAGATACTGTGCCGTGTATGTGACGTAGTGACATAAGCTCCGCCCACTCATGAATATTCATTATTTCTGTGCAGTTAAGACCATTGTAGGTTTAAGGGCACAACACACGTCCTACCAGATCAGTTTACCCAGAAACCGGTGGGGATTGCCTACAGGGGTGCCAGAACGTTGAAAACGGCGACCGTCTTGCGTGAGAGATCAGTTCACGACCTGGAGGCACCATGCGCCTTATCTTCTTCATTGCAGGTAACATTTTTCATGTTTACATTCATATGAGCCCACGGCTACAGTAGCCGTATGTTACAATATGTGAGTTACGAATCTCTGACAAACATTCTTCTAACCCACTTGTGGAAGCGGCGGTGGCTGAGCGGGTTAGATGGCTGACTTTGTGACGATTAGGTGCCTGACTCTGGGAGTGTGGGTTCGACTCCCGGATGGGAATCAAACCAACAAAAGTACTGGAACCTATACTTCATTAAGCATAGCATGCGTATGGTTAAATCGCATTTGGCATATTTATTATCGCTAACCACGATTTGATGCATCGGACATGTGAATGATTAAGTATAAAGTATGGATCAATCAGTGTCTGCTTCGGATGCAGGATATTTACCATTGAAACCTCAGTTATTTACCATTGACAACCCCTCTCTCTAGAATAATTAGTCATAATTTAGTATGGTCGTGCAACTTATACTGTGCGATGAAATTTCAGCAATTAGTGGTGGGAAAGACTAGATGTTCAGCACTACAACCTTGTACTGCCAGAGAGTCGGGCAGAGGAAGGCGGCAAAGTCAGCTTGACATTTGGGCAGCTGATGGGCTGGGTTGGGTGGTCAGCTGATCCCTGACTGGCTTTCCTGCTGGTCGGTCTGCGCTCGTACCGGTGTTTCCCCTGTCTTGCTTTCCGATGATGATGATGATGATGATGATGATGATGATGATGGTGATGATGATGATTTGGAGATTTTAGTTCACTTTCCGACTTCATGCGTATTTCGCACACGGGTGTGCCAGGCCATCGAAAGAGGGTTGATCATGACCGACGCGGCAACCTGAAAGGGGCGTTAGGGTTGCATATTATAGCTGGTACACGACAACTGGTACACTATCAGACACAGGACCCTACATCCCCTGATATATACTCATAGCACGACAACTGGTACACTATCAGACAGAGAACCCTACATCCCCTGATATATACTCATAGCACGACAACTGGTACACTATCAGACAGAGAACCCTACATCCCCTGATATATACCTGGTACAAGACACCTGGTACACTATCAGACAGAGGACCCTATATCCCCTGATATATACTCATAGCACGACAACTGGTACACTACCAGACAGAGGACAATATATCCCCTGATATATACCTGGTATATAGACAACTGGTACACTATCAGACAGGGTACATCCCCTATCAGACAGAGGACCCCTATCATCCCCTACGTCCCCTGATATATACCTGGCACAAGACAACTGGTACACTATCAGACAGAGGACCCTATACCCCCTGATATATACCTGGTACAAGACAACTGGGGTACACTATAAGACAGAGGGCCCTATATCCCCTGATAAATACCAGGTACGAGACAGCTGGTACACTATCAGACAGAGGACCCTACATCCCCTGATATACACACAGAACACGACAACTGGTACACTATCAGACAGAGAACCCTACGTCCCCTGATATATACCTGGTACATGACAACTGGTACACTATCAGACAGAGGACCCTACATCCTCTTATATACCCACAACACGACAACTGGTTCACTATTAGACAGAGGACCCTACATCCTGATATATACCCAGAACACGACAACTGGTACACTCTCAGACACAGGACCCTACATCCCCTGATATATACCTGGTACATGACAAATGGTACACCATCAGACAGAGGACCCTACATCCCCTGATATATACCTGGTACACGCCAACTGGTACACCATCAGACAGAGGAACTTACACCCACTGATATATCTGATATATACCTGGTACATGCCAACTGGTACACTATCAGACAGAGGACCTTACATCCCCTGATATATACGTGGTACATGACAACTAGTACACTATCGGACAGAGGACCTTACATCCCCTGATATATACCTGGGACATGACAACTGGTACACTATCAGACAGAGGACCCTATACCCCCTGATATATACCTGGTACAAGACAACTGGGGTACACTATAACACAGAGGGCCCTATATCCCCTGATAAATACCTGGTACGAGACAACTGGTACACTATCAGACAGAGGACCCTACATCCCCTGATATACACACAGAACACGACAACTGGTACACTATCAGACAGAGAACCCTACGTCCCCCGATATATACCTGGTACATGACAACTGGTACACTATCAGACAGAGGACCCTATACCCCCTGATATATACCTGGTACAAGACAACTGGGGTACACTATAAGACAGAGGACCCTATACCCCCTGATATATACCTGGTACAAGACAACTGGGGTACACTATAAGACAGAGGGCCCTATATCCCCTGATAAATACCTGGTACGAGACAACTGGTACACTATCAGACAGAGGACCCTACATCCCCTGATATACACACAGAACACGACAACTGGTACACTATCAGACAGAGAACCCTACGTCCCCTGATATATACCTGGTACATGACAACTGGTACACTATCAGACAGAGGACCCTACATCCTCTTATATACCCACAACACGACAACTGGTTCACTATTAGACAGAGGACCCTACATCCTGATATATACCCAGAACACGACAACTGGTACACTCTCAGACACAGGACCCTACATCCCCTGATATATACCTGGTACATGACAAATGGTACACCATCAGACAGAGGACCCTACATCCCCTGATATATACCTGGTACACGCCAACTGGTACACCATCAGACAGAGGAACTTACACCCACTGATATATCTGATATATACCTGGTACATGCCAACTGGTACACTATCAGACAGAGGACCTTACATCCCCTGATATATACGTGGTACATGACAACTAGTACACTATCGGACAGAGGACCTTACATCCCCTGATATATACCTGGGACATGACAACTGGTACACTATCAGACAGAGGACCCTATACCCCCTGATATATACCTGGTACAAGACAACTGGGGT